TTTGATTGTGGTCACTAATTTTATAGTATCTTAAATTAAAAGGCTTGAAGGTAAACTTATATTTAAGAATATGTTCTGTATTCCTTTATATGCCCATTCTTATAAGATTATGACATTTTGGATTATCTTTTTTTTTAACAACTAGACTGTAAGATTTTTTTTTTGAGACAGAGTCTCCCTTTGCCCAGCAAGGGTGCCGTGGCTCAGCCTGCTCACAGCAACTCCAAACTCCTGGGCTCAAGGCAATCTCTGCCCACCTACTCGATTGGCTTGGGGACTAACAGGATGCAGCCACCATGCTCGGCTAATTTTTTCCTAGTATTAGTTGGCCAATAATTTTTTCTATTTACAGTAGAGACTGGGTCTCGCTCTTGCTCAGGCGGTTTGGAACCCGACCTTGAGCAAATCCGCCCCCAGCCAAATGCTTAAGCAGGGATTCCTCCCAGGGCAGGGTTTAGGCAGAGAGGGTCAGGGACTAAGAGCACCCTTGACCACCCTCCCTAAGTCAGACAGATCAGGACTGGGGTTCAAAGACCATTTTTCGTAAAGGCCATTGATTCCCCTGCACTTCAGGCAGATAAAATCACTTGGAAAAGTGACTCCCCTGTCTGGATCAATCAGTGGCCCCTCCTGCAGGAACAATTAGCTGCCGGACACATAGAGCCCTCTACTTCACCATGGAACACCCCCATTTTTGTCATTCAAAAAAGGACTGGCAAGTGGCGGCTGCTATAAGACTTACTGGCTGTTAACCAAACAATGGTTCCCATGGGGGCACTCCAGCCTGGTTTGCCTTCACCTGTAGCTATCCCCAAAGGCTACTATAAGATAGTCATTGATCTAAAAGACTGCTTTTTCTCCATACCATTGCACCCAGATGACTATAAACGCTTCGCTTTCAGTCTCCCAGTTTACAGGACCCTCTCCACGTTTCCAATGGCGAGTATTACCTCAAGGTATGGCCAACAGCCCTACCCTTTGTCAAAAATATGTGGCTCAGACAATTGATTCTTTTAGAATTCAACATCCTCAGCTATACATAATTCATTATATGGATGACATTCTGACGAGGCAACCTTACATCAAGTTACTATGCAGGTTGTCTCGGCCTTGCAAGCTCGAGGCCTCTGCTTGTCCCCTGAAAAGATTCAGGTCTGCCCCCCTCACCTGTTCCTAGGCTTTGAATTGTTCCCCAATAAGGTCCTCTCCCAAAAGGTACAAATAAAAAAAGACTCTCTTCAATGCCTTAATGATTTTCAGCGCCTTCTAGGCGACATTAATTGGCTTCGCCCATATTTGAGACTCACCACAGGACAGTTAAAACCCCTATTTGACAACCTGCAGGGAGATGCCGATCCAATCTCTCCGTGCTCCCTAAATAAAGAAGGGCAGCAAGCGCTTAATTTGGTCAAACAGGCCATAAATGCCCAGACCATTGGCTACTTCTCCCCTGACTCCCCTTTGTACTTCATTGTTCTCCCCACCCCCTTTTCACCCACGGGACTCTTCTGGCAGGGCAAGCCCCTTTTTTGGATTCACCTATCGGCTTCCCCCCCCCCAAAGTCCTTCCCACCTACCCTTACTTGGTAGCTAAAATTATTCGCTTAGGGCGAGAAAACTCCCTTAAACTCTTTGGAAAAAATCCAGATATCATAATACTCCCTTACAATGCTTCTCAAATTCGGTGGCTAATACAAAATGATGATGACTGGGCGGTTAACTGTACGTCTTTCCAGGGCAAAATAGATAATCATTACCCCCCTGATAAGCTAATTCAGTTCCTCTATCGGACACTTGTAATATTTCCCAAAAGAACAAGAGTCTCCCCCATTCCAGGAGCCGCATTAGTCTTCACCGACGGATCCTCCTCGGGCACCGCGGCCTATAGCATTAATGGCCAGGTCCGCAGTTTTCCCACCGGATTCTCCTCTGCTCAATTCATTGAGCTAGCGGCCTTAGTCACGGTCTTCAAACACAGAAATCAGTCACCATTTAACTTGTATACTGATAGTTCTTATGTTGCTCATGCTGTCGCTACCTTAGAAACCGTGCCTCATATTCAGCCCTCCAACAATACCACCCAAATGTTTCAACAACTACAAAGACTCATTCACTCCCGTTCTACGCCCTTTTTCATAGGCCATATTCGCGCCCACACTGGCCTTCCCGGGCCTCTAGCCGCTGGAAATAATCTTGTTGATCAGGCAACCCGCGTTGCAGGCGCAGTCCACACTATCGCCGTTGATCCTGTTTGCGCTGCACGCCAAGCTTATAATTTACACCATCTCAATGCCCATACCCTCAGACTTAAATTCTCCATTACTAGAGAACAAGCTAGAGAGATCGTCCACCAATGCAAGGCCTGTTTTACCCTTCTCCCTGAACCACACCTAGGGGTTAACCCTCGCAGCCTAGTCCCTGGGGAGCTCTGGCAAATGGATGTCACTCATTACCCCCCTTTTGGAAAGCTTAGATATGTACATGTCTCTGTAGACACTTGCAGTAGATTTATCTTCGCTTCCCTACAAACAGGCGAGGCCACCCGCCACGTTATTAGTCATATTATAGCCTGTCTCACCTCCCTTTCTCAGCCTAAAGTTATTAAGACTGACAATGGCCCAGGATATGTCAGCTCTAATTTCAAAAGTTTTTGTGCTCAGCTAGGCATTAAGCATATTACAGGCATTCCATACAACCCTCAGGGCCAAGGTATTGTAGAGAGAGCTCATCAGACGTTAAAAAATACGCTGTCCAAACTACAATCGGGAGGAGGAATTTTATACCCCTTGACAGGTAATTCCAAAACCCTGCTTAATCATGCCCTGTTCATTTTAAACTTTCTCACTTTTGACGCTGCCGGTAAAACAGCCGCCGACCGCCTTTGGCACCCATCCATCAAAGATACTTATGCACAGGCCTTATGGAAAGATCCGCTTACCGACAAATGGTTAGGGCCTGACCCCGTCCTCATATGGGGAAAGGGACATGCCTGTATCTATGACACCCAGGCAGGAAACGCCAGATGGCTGCCAGAAAGAACAATTAAGTTATATAATCCACCCAGGGAACCCCCTGAGAAGAATTCTTAATTCTGTTCTCTTCCAGAAACACAATGACTCCCCAAGAGAAGGCGCTGCCCCTCCTGTACCTGGTTCTGGTCACACTTAGAGGCATCAACACAGCCAACATCCATCAGGTCTACAATTATACGTGGCAGGCTAGAACAAAGAGGCTCCAGAGAAGACCTCCATGAAGAGTCTCCCAATACACCCACGGAAGGTCTAAATTTCTCAAACCTTGCCTCAGACATGGAACGCAGTTGGTTCCAAAGGCTGTGGAGACGCCCATGACGGGATTATCGCGATGCCGCGTACCAGGTGCACACCCCGCCAGCAGTGAGGTGACTCCATGACGGGAATATTGTAGGTCCATGCCCGGGGGCACACTTCATAATCAGAAGTGCCGGAGCTGGATGCCACCTACATAGCCTAAGACAGAGGCCTCACCTTCACATTGATCGCCAGATCTTATATTTGGGGTGCTGGTCGCGGAAGCCCATCGCGTAGCCTAAGACAGGCTCTCCACCAACCTGTGTAAATCTCCCTCATATTAATAAAGAGAGGGGGAGATGTTGGGAACCGAGGCCTTTGAAGTTCTTAACCCGGAAATACCCTGAGCAGAAAATACCCTGAGTTGCCAGAAAGGGCATAACGACCGTTCTGAGAAAAAATCCGTTCTGAGAAAAAATCGCAAGGTATTTCCGGCTTGCTGCCAGAGGCTGTTTGTAACTGATTAGCCCTAAAACCCCCCTGCCCCTCCCTACCTCTTTGTCTCTGTATGCTTATAAAACCAACAAAGAATCGAAGTAAAGTAGACCTTGGCAACCCTTTGCTTGGTCTCGTTCATTTCTCTCGCCCGTCTCTTTCAGGCACGGTCCCCTTTCGCCCCCACGAGTAACAGAAGGTCCCGTGGGCCGGGACAGGCTGAAGGTAGGGCTCAGGCCCAGAAACAGGTGATACAGAGAGAGATGAGGGGGCTGTGGAGGCTCCCCGTGAGCCTGCCAGCAGCTCGGTGAGGTCACCAGGCCCATCTCAGGGTGAAGGCAGAGGCCAAGGGAGAGTTCTGGAGATGGAGGAGGGGAGAGGGGCATGGCCAAGGGCCCCGCTGGCCAGAGGAGAGGCCAGCTAGCTTGGATCCCAGGACTCGCTCAGCCCAGGCCTGGCCCTGTTCCTGCTCTGGGGGTCCCTCTCCTCCCATACTCAGGGCTAGAGCTGGGGTTGGGGGGCGCTCTGAGCAGGCCCCTGGGTGGGCGTGGAGGACGTGCAGGTGCGGGAAAGGCTGTGAGCTTGGCTCTGGGAGGCAGGAGGGGGCTGTGGGGCCCTGAGGGGACACACTGAGGCTGGCTGAGCCAGAGACTCTGCTTAGCTCCTGCCACCGCTTCATTAGCCAGCTGCATGCAGCTGTGATCCCTTTGCTTCAAGAACGGCCTCAGCCTACCAGCGCCCCCAGCTGGATAATTTGAGAATGACAACGTTGAAAAGGAGAAAAGAAACCAGAAGCCCCCTCACTTCCCAGATGGGGATGAAGTCACCTCTTGGAGCAGCGTCAGGTGACCCCATCTGAATCTGGCCTCCACCACTGACCTCTTCTGGAACCTCAGGCAGGTCACTGACTTCTCAGTTTTGTCATCTGTAAAATGGGATTCAATCCCAGAAGGCCCTCAGATAATCGGAGGTCTCTCCCCACCCCCCACGCTGTTTGTTTTCGCTGGCATGGCCAACTCCTCAGAGGTCTCAGGAAATCTGGAAGGTTAAAATGGTAACACTGCATTCCAAGGGGGGACCTGGCTCTGACTGACATCCTTGCCTCTCTGACCCATGGAGCAGCCCTGCTGGGTAAGTTACTTCCCCTCCCTCAGCCTCAGCCTCCTCATCTGCACAATGGGCAGAGTGCTCAAGGAAGCCCCTACCTTCTTCCTGGTAGGATGACTCTGAGGATTTAGTTATAACAAATTAATCTACATTAAATGAGACAATTATGCAAAAGGTGTAGCCTAGGGCAGTCAGAGATGGCTGAGGACACCCAGGCCCTGGACACACAGCTCTGTGCTGGGGACACACAAACATTAGCCATATCCCTTCCACTCGAGACACTTTCAGAGCAGCCATTGATTGTCTTTTGAAGGAGGAACAGATTGGCATAGTAGAGAAGTCCCAGCAACCCGGAGGTGGTGTGTTCTTTGTCTTCCTCTCCCTTTTTCCCTTCACCTTCAGTGGGCTCAAGGTGGCCCAATCAGGGGCATCTGAGCATCTAAATAAATGATAGTGGTGACACATTATAACCCATTGAATAAAATGGGGAGGAAGCCATTGGTGATGTGTATAAACGAATTAATACACTGATATTTTGATGAGGAATGACAGACACATTGATAGAGTCTTTCAGGGGTGAGGGGAAACTTCCCCTTTGCCCCTCCCTGAAAGTTCAACTCACAATTAAGGCAGATTAATAAGAGAAAGTTTTATTTACCATTCCCATGGGGAGAATCACAGAATGATTATCCAATATCCCAATGAAGTTCAGATATTTTTATAGATGCCTTTTAGAGGGGAGGGGAAATGAGTATAGGTTATTCTGTTTAGGGACAATAAACAGTTGCTAACGAAGATGAATAGATATTGGGAGAATGACTGGATGGGGGAAATAGATTGATTGATAAATGAACCTCAGAGACAGGTGTTATATTTTATTTATTTATTTATTTATTTTGAGACAGAGTCTCGCTTTGTTGCCCAGGCTAGAGTGAGTGCCATGGCGTCAGCCTAGTTCACAGCAACCTCAAACTCCTAGGCTCAAACAATCCTGCCTCAGCCTCCCAAGTAGCTGGGACTACAGGCATGCACCACCATGCCCAGCTAATTTTTTCTATATATATATTAGTTGGCCAATTCATTGCTTTCTATTTATAGAGACGGGGTCTCCCTCTTGCTCAGGCTGGTCTCAAACTTCTGACCTCAAGCAATCCACCCGCCTCTGTCTCCCAGAGTGCTGGGATTACAGGCGTGAGCCACCGCGCCTGGCCTGGGTGTTATATTTTAAATAATTTGGGCCAGGTCTGCAATATGTTGAGATAACAGGGAGAAAAAGGGAAGTCCAGTCCAACCTTCTGTTTGAGCTTTTGTTCTCAGTCGGTTTATGCAGATAAAAGGAAAGCCCCTTCCAATGCTTTTTAATGTGGAAGGGCCTTTAATTAAAAATATTCTTCAGGCTGGGCATGGTGGCTCACGCCTGTAATCCTAGCACTCCTGGAGGCCGAGGCCGGCTGATCACTCAAGGTCAGGTGTTCCAAACCAGCCTGAGCAAGACCAGTCTCTACCAAAAATAGAAAGAAATTAATTGACCAACTAAAAATATATATACCAAAAAAAATTAGCTGGACATGGTGGGTCATGCCTGTAGTCCCAGCTACTTGGGAAACTGAGGCAGAGGATCACTTGAGCCCAGGAGTTTGAGGTTGCTGTGAGCTAGGCTGACGCCATGGCACTCACTCTAGCCTGGGCCACAGAGTGAGACTCTGTCTCAAAAAAAAAAATATATTCTTTATACCCAGAGGTCATATTTTGGGATAACATTTTCTGAGCTCCTTCAGTCTCAAAGTAACTGCCCACAAAATACCCATTGATTAATGGGAGAAGAAGCTTCGCAGTGGAGGAGGCTGCCAGACGCCACCTTAACCAAGTGATCTGAGTGGCCATCACCAGCAGTGGGACAAGCTGAAATCACGCCACTTACCCGCAAGGATGAAATAGGAATGTGCGGTCCTTCTGTGATAGCCCCGCCAGGGTGCATGACCTGAATCTAACCACGAGGAAAGATCAAACTCAAATTGAAGGGTATTCTACTACAGGGGCTGGCCAGATAGTAAACATTTTAGGCTTTGGGGGCCATATGGTTTCTTTTGAAATGACTCAGTTCTGCCCTGCCAAACAAAACAAGACAGCCATGGACCAAATGTAAACAAAGAAACTTGGCTGTGTTCCAACAGAACTTTACTTATAAGCATAGATGGGTCAAAATTGCCAAAAAGCAAAATTTCAACAAATGTAAAAATGGGGTCTTGCTATGCTGCCCAGGCTGGAGTGCAGTGGCCATTGACAGGTGCGATTATAGTACACTACAGCCTTGAACTCCTGGGCTCAAGAGATCCTCCTGCTTAAGCTTCCCTAGTAGCTGTGTGGCTCAGAAGAACAAGGACAAGTGGTTTCAGGAGTTCAGGAGGAAACAAAGAGAGTTTACTTTGTCGACAAGGGAAATATGATACAACCTCTCATCTCAAAATTTCAAATTACCTGAACCTAGGTAGAAATTCAGAGCTTTTAATGGGAGGGTTTTCAGCCTCAGGCAATTACTGTGGTTAACTATTCTAATCATCCCATTTCGGCCAAAGACAAAGCCTGTTAGCTCCGCCCACCTGGGGGGCTGGCGCCACCTGGAGGTTTTAACAAAAGACTTAACCTGCCTCAGGGATGCAGTCCAGGCTACAGTTTCCAAAAAGAGGGGGGAAAGTTTTTTTTTGAGAGGGAGTCTCACTCTGTTGCCTGGGCTAGAAACAGTGCCATGACGTCAGCCTAGCTCACAGCAACCTCAAACTCCCGAGCTCAAGCAATCTTCCTGCCTCAGCCTCTCAGGTAGTTGGGACTACAGGCATGCGCCACCATGCCCGGCTAATTTTTTCTATATATTTTTAGTTGGCCAACTAATTTCTTTCTGTTTTTAGTAGAGACAGGGTCTCGCTCTAGCTCAGGCTGGTCTCAGACTCCTGACCTTGAGCAATCCTCCCGCCTGGGCCTCCTAGAGTGCTAGGATTACAGGTTCTTCTGCATTCTTCCGCCCTTCCGCTCCTGCACCTCCCAGTACCCTCGGGCCATGTCTCTAGACAAGCAAAACTGATGCTGCCCCTTCCTTGTTTTGGCCACCTGCCATCCTGCTTTATTGTTAGGGCCTCACTTGTGTATCTAATTTAGTGGACATGTCAGCCATTTCCTGTGTGGTCTTGGGGTCCAGAAACTGATACCCCAAAATATGGTACAAGAAGCCTCAAGGCCTCTCTGACCTCCTTCCCCCACATCTCTCCCAAAGCACAGGACTTTATCTGCATAACACCCAGACCCCCCAAGGGGAACAATTGTTTTTTCTTCCTCTCTCAGCCCAAGAATGTACCCACACACCAGGACAGACCCTTCCAGTCAAAGAGAACTATTTACAAGTTAATCGCTATTTCTGCATCCATTCTTT